ATATATATATTTACATAATATATATATATATATATATATATATACTATGCTGTATCATAAAACTTACCATCGTCCACCGAAGGACTCTGTTAGCACAGCGATGCACCGTTCTACAGAACCCAGAACAGCCCTGTGGATCATAACTGGGCGCTCGATACCCTCGGTCTTACTGTAGTATAGAGTAGTAGAAATATGAGAGACTGATAGTTTGATAGAATCAAAGCAACCAGAAATTAAAGAGACGCTCTCCGTCGTCCTGTACAGCTATACAGCAAGCAAACGTGGGGCTTGTTAGGTGGGCCATACTACGAGTGATGCGTTTATTTTTTTCTTTGACACTGTAGTAAAGTGTAGCATACAAATATGGTGATCATAATTCGGTCCTATCACAATGAACGCGGCTCAAAAGATGTATGACAGCATTTATATATACACACACGCATACAAACAGACACTCGCATATATACACACACGTATATATACACATACGCATATATATACACACGCACACAAGCACCTGTCTTGAGCACAAAGATGCCAATGGAAGGCGAGAACAGAATTATTGGGAACGCTGAAGTTATATTGGATGAACGTGTTATCAGACAAGAATACACAGCCACATATTAACGCCAGCAGCAAAATACATATATATGCATACAAACGCATACACACATACACACCTAAATGCATACACAGACAAACACACATCCAGAAGCATAATTTGGAGAACGCACGTACACACATATACTCATACCGGAGCACATCTTGCACACACACACACATACAGAAGCATAATTTGGAGCACGCACGTACACACATATACTCATACCGGAGCACATCTTGCACACACACACACCTTTGGTAGGTAAGATCGAAGTTCTTGGGCAAATTGAAATCCAATTGGATAGTGGCGCACTGATGCTGTCGACCAATGGCGTCCTTAATTGTGATATCTATTTTAGGACCGTAGAAGGCTCCGTCACCCTCGTTCAGCTGATAGAATTTGGAGTGAGAATTTGGAGTGAGACTTTGGAGTGAGAATAGGCTATTACCAAAATATGGGTACTCAATTGTCCGACTATATACTTATATACACAGCATCCTCAATTGTGATGTAGGTTTTGGGACCGTAGAAGGCTTTGTCACCCTCATTGCGTTGAGAAAAAGAAGTTTGAAATCGAATCTAGAATGAGAATTACGTACGGTTATAATACGTGTACGTACATGTTTGACTACATACTGATTTAGATAGCAATTTGAACTGTGACATAACCTTTGGGAAAGCAGATGGCTCGGTCAATCTAATCTCATACAGCCGATTGATATTAAATTGAATAGGGAATGAGAATAAAATGTAAATAAAAATGAGGTTACGTACACGTCGTACTACTATAGATAGTATTCTTAAATGATACCTCTCGTTTGAGTCTGTAGATAGCTACGTTCTCTTCATTCAGTTGTTCCTCGATACTAACCCACGAAGCTAACTCATTCTCAAACAATTCTCTGCACTAAACCAATGTTCATTTCACAGCCATACAGACACATATTTATATATGTATACATAT